CTTGAAATCATTTACTAATATAAGAGCCACTGAAATTACAAGTTGTTCTCAGTGAGAAAAATAGTATGGCAGGGAAAATTTAAAGAACGCCTCTGACAGAAATCCAAGAACCCAACAAACATTTTATGCTTTAATTTTTCTAAACAAACTCCCACTCATACAGTTTGTAAAAATTATTCTAGAACGCAATTACTTTGAAAAAGGAAAAAACCCAAACAAACCTATAGTTATACTTGGGGAAAGAACCAGAGGTACAAAACACAATATGCAAAAACAAACAGTCGGAGCAGACAGCCAAAAGTTTTTGTAGTGCAGACTATGGAGAAAAATCACATGCCAGGATCAATATACCCCTTGTCATTTCCAGGATCAATATATCCCTTGTCATTCAGAATCAGACAGGATGGAGTAAAACCATTTCCCACTGTTCTGAAATCGAATCTGTCGTGAAATGCCAATCTGTACTCAGTATACCCTTTACCCAATGTCATTCAGTATCAGACAGTACAGACTAAAACCATTTACTAGCATTCTGAAATCAAATCTAGCATGAATTGCCAATCTGTATTCTTTGCTAAAACCATTAGGCAAACATGTTCAAAAGAATAGTTGTATGAAAAAGATTAAAATAGGCTTAACCCAATCATAACCTACCCCCCCCCACCTCAAAATGTATACATGAAAACTTGTAACTAACCCTATATATTTTGAGAAGAAATACCTATCATTGTTACACCCAGGATGTCTCCGGGGGGGGGGGGGGGGGGCTTTTATTTTACCCTAAGTACAAAAGAAGCCAAACCAAGTTCCTCCAAACTATACATTGGTTTATTGGGGTGTCATCAATCAGGCAATATTAACAAGAGCTGATATGTACAGCAGAGAATATGCAAACATACTCACTAGGGGTGGCAAGGTCTCAAGGCCCTCAGAGTCCATCCTCAGGGTTTGAGGCAAGTTCCACACTCCCACTCCTTTGCATGGCAGAGTTTTATGCAGTTCAGGTTCAGATTTCTGTATTCCCACCCCTTCCTCCGAGATGAGGATTTCTTGTCCGAGTCAGCAGGGGGCAGGGAAACTGAGCCATGTTCTTTCCTAGGGTCGCCTTATTAGCACTGGGTGTGATCAGATCACTGGCCTATGCATCTCATCTCCCTTGAAACTGTCCCTCACAACCTGTTTTGCTCAAACAATAATCATTGCAATTCAGACTGAACAGCTTCTGGGATCACAGTATCTGGGAGGAGGAATATAGTGACATACCCACCACAGCAAAAACAGGCGAGGGGTTATTCAGGACTCCTCAACATCAATCATTAGGTTTCTTCTGAAATTATGGTCCCTCTCCAAAGTGAAATGCACATCTTTTGTTGGTAAGAAAGGTTAACTAGAGCTTCATCAGCAAGTAGAATCTCTGACTGGTAAGCTGCTATTTCTCCTAACATGTCATTGCCAGAAACAAACACCACCACATTCCTGGTGCCAAGAGCTAAAGGCAGTTGGCAAGTTAAGAACATGTTAAGTAACTGTCCATTTTGCATCTTCCTGCCCCATTACTCATCAATTCTTAAACATATTTAATTAATTTTGCCAGGCAGCCCACATTTATGATAAAGTTAAAGATATGTTATCTAGAACCGGTAAGTATTAATGTTCAATAAGATGAGTGTTTTGGATATTAATGTTCAATAACACTTTAGGAGCCAACTGACAATTTGAAAGATGGACCAACAAAAGGCCCTTACATTTATTAAATAATAGTCATAATTCTGGAAGAAAGGAGGTCAGTGAGTCCATGTTACTGGTTAAATATAAACAGTACCCAATGACATATATAAGAATACTAATTTGCTTAAGCATTACATAAATAACAGAGAGAGGCTCCTCCCATTCACCGAGTGCACAGGCGCGCGCACACACACTTTTCCAGATTTAAAAAATTAAATAAAATCAAACTAGTAACAGTAAATTTCTTATTTTACACAACTTATAATAATCTTAATGCCACTGTGTTAGCCAGATTAAAAAGACGGATGAAAGTTCACCAGTGGTACTCCTGATGTACTGCTTTCTAACCAAAGGCGACAGAAATGAAACTTGAGTCACCAGTCTAGTTATTTTTAAGACGAAAACTTGGTTAACACAGCTCTCCTCAAATTAAGAGCCTCCCTCAACTCAATTCTAAAGTCACATTAAAGGAAAATTACATTGTAAAGTCACAGCAGAAAACTAAATTTGACAGGAAAGTATTACAATTCAGCCACTGCGGGTGCATCAGCTCTTAGTTTTCCAGAGATGGGTTTTTCACCCATACAATATCCTTGCCCACATAAACATAAGTAGAGAAACAGGCTGTCAGCCAGTATCCAGAGAGTTCAGTTGCTCAGTTTTCAATTTCAGTTGGTAAATGATAGCTACACAAGCTGGAAAGGCCATTTTTATAAATTTTGTGCATGCTCAGTTTTTGGAAGTCTCCAAAAATTTATATGCAGATGAGGCCCAGGGCACCTGGTCTGGCTCCACCTGATGGAGTGGGGGCCCACACTAATCATGTATGACAGGCTGAGGAGGAGGCAGCAACAGGGATTCTGGGTGAACCATTTGGGAATATCTACCAGACACTTAAGGCGGGTGAAGAAACAGAAATCATTGGAAATAGAAAAGAAAGGCACAACTCAGTGTGGGAGTCAAGTAGAAGTTGAAATGTATACAATGCAGTAGCTTATCACGAGTTGAAAGAGTTGGCACTGGGGGGGACTGCACCCAATGGGCACTACCACACATCTGATTTGGAGAAGTTGCACTAACCTATCCTTGCAGTAGATTCTATCAGTGTGTTTACCCAAAGTAGGCCATGTGTTTTATAGTCATGCTCAGCATTGGCTGCATTTAAACAACTTTATATCTGGTTTACTGGGCATGTGCTGCTGTGAGCAGCAGTTTAATGATAGACGGTGTGTTTAATGCAGTTTCCTTGTAAGTGAGGTTTCTCTAGTGGCTTTTTTCCCCATGCTGATTGGGGGGAAAAAAACTGTGTCTTATATTTGAGTAAATAAAATATATGAAACTCATTGTGGTAAACTAAAGTCTGTTCCAAATAAAAGCAGTCTCTTGATAGGAGGATATAGCTGTTACTTTAAGAAACTTAAATTTAAAAAATCCATAGTACAGAACTACAAAGTGTATCACATGGATTATGAGCATTCAAGTTCAAACTGTTTCAAAGAAGGTGCTGCTCTGTATGTAGAACAAGTTTGTTGGAAAGATGAAGGATTAGTAGAGTAGATAAGGCTCCTTAAAATAAAAAGCAAGGTTGCTTCTTTTTCAACATTCTCCCATTTAGATCTCTTCAGTACATGCATAAACTCCCCCCCCCACCGTTTTTTACGTCATCAAGGTTAATTTTGGTAGGTACATGTAAATATTACACACAACTTGAGAATCGTTTATTATAACATTTGTCAAACAACCAAAGGACATTAGCATTAGTATTAAAAAGCCTACACTTTCTTTAGCCAAGTCCACTGAGTTAAACACTTGGTCCTGGGTCACTGGATTCTGGTGTACTGACTTCCTAGAGACTAAAACTTGCCAAGCAGAAGTATGCCACAATCTGCTTTTTCTGGGTATTATGTATATCCAAAGGCTTAACACTGTTTGTACTACCTCAGAGTTTAGAGTATGTACAGCACTGTGAAGCCTGATTTGCCCTCTGCTTCTAAATCTGTCCCAGTGGCCAACAGACAGGATGATTACAAGGCAAGGTATCATTGTCTTTTAAAAGTCTGGCAGCAACACATGCATTTCATTCAAAGAACCGAATCACTTAAAGCCATAAGATTTGTAATTCAATTAGAAAGCACCTGCTCAAAAAATGCCTGTAAAAGTGACTGAAGCTGATCTTGCTTAGATTAAGGGAAGTGTCCAAAAACAACTGGCTTTAGGTCTTACAGTTGTTAGTTTGGTGGTGCGTTAACCATTAAAATGAAGGATCATGGGAAAGGTTTATTTTTCTACCATCAAGACTACAGACATGACCAGAGGGAGCAGAAGTTTACAACTTCCACATGTTTTTAAAAGTTAGCTTGTTAGCAAAAGATATCCTTGAAGACACTAAATCCAGAAGCCTCAAGTTCTTTCAACTGTCACACATTTGACTTTGTGTAGGTCCCTTCACCTCTATGCACTTCACTTCTGTCTTTTGTGAAGTGCAATAACGTTATTACCACATGTCTAATCCTGCAGAAGCTCATTTTTTTTAGTATTCAACTAACGCCATGCTTGGAGCCAATGCACGGACAGCGCTGCATGAACACCAACGCATCATTAAGTTCCCCTCCTCAGGAGAGCAACAGGAAAAAAAAAACAAGCCAACCTTTAGAGACAGCTACGGAAGTGCAGAGGTGGCTCTCAATCTTATTTTACTTCGTTGAAGACAGAGGCAGAACAAATATAAGTAACGCTTTGTACTGCCTCTCTCCCCCACTTGATCTTTGATCCGGCTGCCAGTCTCTGCTCCACCCGACTGAGCTCTGCCCCTAGCTGGGCTCAGGAAGTGCAGAGCTGAAAGTCCCCCTCACAATACCAAACCCGGCCGCTGAGGGATCGCACCCGACCCGTCCACGTGCTCAGTCCGTGCAAAGATATCCCCATTTAGACTTGCGGCAGCCCCGGCTCCGGCCCCGGCCCCGGCCCATGCGCGACCCCCTGCCGCCGGGAGGCCGATCGCGGCTCCGGCCCCGAGGCGACCCCGGGCAGGCGCC